AGGATCGGCCCTTCGGTGTCATTCTTTTTCAAGGACGAAACGGACTGCTCGTACCCGATTTCGGACCAACATGACCCCCCAAGTGGACCAAATCCTCCCGTCTCCGACAGTCTCCCTGAGTGCCGTATCCGCGTCCGTGCGAGCAATTGTCACTGCGTGCGGCCTGTCGCCACATCCACCACCAACTCCTCACGTGTTGTGACTTTCATTTTCGAGACGCGCCTCTAAAACCCATTTCGGCTCCGCATTCCAATGCATTCTTGTCATGTTTTGTTTTTTTAATTTAAGATTACAGCCTTCTCTGTATCCCATCTGAAAGCCGATTGTGCATTCCGAGCAAGTCGTCCTCTTCTTTTCTTTTTGCGTGCGTGTCCGTGTGCGCGTGATTGTCAAGGGCGATGCAAAATAGATGAGCAGCACAAAGGAAGACGCCGGGGCTAAAGTCGTACAGCTCAATAGAGCGCCGCTCACAAGTGTCTGCCGGCAGCGGGTGCAATTACAAACGCAGCGCGTGTAAAAGTCAAGAGAATACAAATCACATAATAGACGCCCGAGCTTCCGAGCGGGGAACCGTGTGCACGCACGCGCGCGCATGCACACGGTTCCCCGTTGGAGGCTATTACGCGAATGTCTGCGCGTGAAGCTGCACAATCACACACACACACACAAAAAAAAAAAAAGCCTCCGACACGTTGTACAAATGCACGTGTAATCCCTCAATGTCCTTTAAATGTTACTTTCACAAAGAATGACCTAACCGACAAACGAATGTGTGTGTGCATGCGTGCGTGTGTGTGTGTGAGACTGAAATGGGTGGCTGAGGGTCTGGCCTTGGCGCACCAAGACAGCAGGTCACAGCAAGGACAAGTGATAGCAGCAACTCGGGCAGACTATTTTGGCATCTGACACCAAACCTGCCATTATGTTTGCAGTGGTTCTTCAACCAGTTCATATGCACATTCACTAAACCCTTCATTAGTGAAAAAAAAAACACACATATATGTGTATATATATATATATATATATATATATAGTTTTTTTTTTTTACAAATTAAAGACATAAAAAACCCGCATTTATTAAAAACAGAAAAAAGTAAACACAATTATAATTGGGAATTTCTCCATTGTGAGACTAATAAAGGTTTCCTTATCTTATCTTATAAGTATAAAGTATAAGTTTTTGAATTGTGCACAAAATGAACCAGCCAGTGATGGCCAAGCGGGCACGTTATAACTAATTGACATGTTGAGTCGGGTGCGTCTTAACCTCCATGGCAGAGGTTCTGTCGAACCCCTGTGAGTTTAGTTGCTGCGAGACATTCCTGTTCACGCATTTAGGTATCGCGCACGCATTTAGGTATCACGTTTTTGCAGCGCCTTGCCAGTTTCCGGTGTTGCGTCATGCTCACGTCATGAGTTCAGTTCGATCTCAGCCTTGTGTCCTGTAAACTCAACGTCGGCTTGTTTCTCTGGGTGTCAACGCACCTTTTCTTGGATCACCTTTATGCTGGGCAAAACAAACAAGATGAGAGAACGATGAGCTACTTTTGCCAAAACATTGGCATGAAGTGGAAAGTGAAAAAAAAGAAGAAACAGAAGACAGACATTTGAATGGGACGGGAAGTTGTTAGCGTCTGTGCATTTGCATCTTTTTCAACAAGGCCAAAATGAATTTTCAATGCCAAAAGTTAATGGTTGCATTCTGGCTGCGCATCGCGGCTCCTCTACCCTCCGCCAAAAAAAAAAACTTTTCCTCGCACGTTACTTTTTTGTGATATTTCCAATTTTTTGTTTTTCAATTTGCTCTACACAGATTTCACCAGATTTTGTAATTTATACCGTTGATGTTTCAGAAAAAAAATCCACCTATTACTTTTTTGTGTGTGCAATTTCCTCTTACTGATTTGACCTCATTGACTGCATGCGAAGTTTAAAATGTCACAAAATGTATGTGTGTGTGGTGTGGGGGGGGGGGGCATAAAAAAAATTCTCACCAAAACAAAGTGTTGTTGATGCTACTGTGAAGGAGACTCATCCCTGCTGCTTTGGCTCACTGAGTAGAACGTGACAAGCATGCATCACATTGTGTGTGTTTGTGTGCGTGTGTGTGTGTTGACCTGGTTGTTGTGTTGTGGGAGCGCCTTGCAGGTTTTGGCATGCTGGGTGCCAATCGAGCTGTGAAAATAGCAATTGAGTAGGGAAATGGGGAATAGCACCTCGCCACCATGCAACCTCGGTGTGCGTGTATCACTCATTCAGTTGAAGTGTGTGTGTGTGTGTGTGTGTGTGTGTGTGTGTGTGTGTGTGTGTGTGTGTGTGTCGACAGCAGGGAAAAGCCCCACTCCTTCCCGTCTTGGAATGTAGGCTATCTCTGAAAGCGTGTCACAGCCGTATCCAAGCCCCCAGCTCTTGAAGCGAATAGAATTAACCCAAATAAAGCAGGGTGTGTAACAGGGAGAATACATGAAAAAGGGCCGATGACTCTCTGAGGCCGGCGGGCGGCGATGCGGCCGAATTGTTTGGCATCAAAAAAAAAAATAATAATACAACCATAGAAAATAAAGAACACTTTTTGAACAACACCAAGTATGCAAGGCGCTACACGATGATCCAAAACGGCAGTTTGTTTGATTTTGGAACTGTTTCATGAAAATAAAATGTTGCACTAAGCAAGCCGCAACAGCAGTTGGTGATATCAGTATAGTTTAAGCTCTTAAGAAAAAAACACTGTGAAAAAAAAGCTTTTTTTTTTTTTTTTTGAGTAAAATACTGTGTTACCATGTTTCTGTGTTTTCAAGCCTAAAATGCTAACTTTGAATACAGTGATTTTCACATCTGAAATGCTAACATTGAGGAAAAAAGGCTCAAAGTGAACGTTTAAAAAAAAAAAAAAAAAAAAAATTAGCCGGATGAGCGCTCTTTAGATGAAAAGTGCGATGCTCCACAATGTCCTGCATGTTTTTGGCAGCTCCAGAACTTTCTCCTTCTTTTATGAAGATGAATTTATGAAAGCTTTAGGCTGGCACTTGCTGCTATATTGAGCTCAGCTAGCTAACTGGCTAGGATGGAGCCTTGGTTGGTCGTATCAGGTGTACAGAAAGAGTCTGGGTTGGTTGACAGGCATGGACAAAGTTGGCCTTAAGTCTTTATTTGTATTCCTCCCAAGGGGGAGGAATTTTTTTTTTTTTTTTTTGCTTCACCCGAGTGTCCGGCACAAATCATATTTCCTCTTTAACAAATGGCTCGCTGGATGTGTCAGTGCTTCTTCGTGTGTGTGTGTGTGTGTGTGTGTGTGTGTGTGTGTGTGTGTGTGTGTGTGTGTGTGTGTGTGTGTGTGTGTGTGTGGGCCTTCTGTTACCGTCCCTTCATTTCACGGTCCGGCACCTCCGCGTGAATCCTTTTCCTTGGGCTCATTATCAGCACTGTTCAAGGAACATCCTGGCAAAATGCAAAGGGCTGAGGGAAGGCGGGAGCAAAAATGATTATTCCGGCGGGCGCAGGGACGGCCGGCGGTGACATTGTGACTTTTTTTCGGTTGTTGTTTTGCACATTTATTACTTGGTGCGTACGTCGTGCATAAATAAGAAAGCAGAATGGAAGCAAAGAAGCTAATTTGAGGAAACGCTGATGTGACCATTTTTTGGGCGGGGGGGCAGTTTGTTGATTTGACAACTGTGGTCTTAAGTTGACGGTTTTGGCTCACAGCTGTCAAACTCAAGCCCGGAGACATCAACTTGCAAAATTCTTGATTCAAAGTGACCAAAAATTCTAATTGTCACATGTAATATCAATAAAAAATGTTCAGATATTGCAGCAGTGTGAATGGTCCTTTGTCGACCAGTTGAGGGTGTAGTCTGCCTTCCGCCCAAAGTCAGCTGGGAGAGGCTCCAGCAACTCCCCGCGACCCTGTTCAAGATAAGCAATGTTGAAAATGGATGAAATGGAGATATTGCAGCTTTTTTTTTTAAAATACCAAACCCCTTTTTTACAGTCACTTGAACAACTATTATCATTGACTTCTGATTTTAAAGTCAGTTATTTACAAATTTGTTATGTTAATGTAATCATGAGGAAATTAAATATTGATATGGTTTTGCAGTCATAACGGCCCGTGACTTTTACACCCCTGCTGTAAGGCAACAAAATGGGGAAAAAATGTTTTGTTTTGTTTTTTTTTTTGCCAGTCCCATTGGAGATTTGCTGTAATTAAACACCAGTATTACACATGGTATAGTTATTTAACCATGCCGCATGCATTTGTATTACTAAAGTCTGCTTGCTTAATGCTGAAGTGCACTGTGAAAGGGCATCGAGACCGACTAACAAAACTTCCGTCACAGTAGGTTCAAATCTTTAAACAACTTTTATTTGAACAGAAAGAGTGCCGGAGAAATCCAAACATAGCATATTACCCTACGCAAAAGCATATATTATTTCCACTCTGTGAAAAACTACCAATATATTAGAACAGCTTCTTTGGCTTTAATCATCCAAGCTACAGTGGATGTATTATACTGCCCCCCGGTGGCCAAGAAATGCACCGCGGAAAGAGCCGTACAATACTTCCTGAATTAAAGTATGGAATCATGATGTAAAAACGATTTAATTGTTCACATTCACAAAATTCAGGAGTCTGTGTTTTTATTTAGTGCTGTTTTTCTTGTAAACAAAAAAAAAAATGCATTTTGGGGTTTTTTTGGGCGGGGGGGGGGCGCTGGGGCCAAGAACAGATTAATGGCATTGACACTGTAGCTCAAAGGCATCCCTATATGTTCAAAATATGAATCTTTTTGGAAGACTCTAAAGTTCACATTTGTGTACCATTTCCTTACAATGCCCCCTACTGGTCTGGCATGTAAACTACAGCGTTTTCAAATCGCCTCAATGTCGTCACCCTTTATCTTTTGCTCGGTCGTCGCTCGCGTAAGCATCTTTCTGCCCATCTGTTGCGGTCATTTAATTCTCACTCTACTCTCCTGTCTGTCATCTGTTCTTGGCAGGCTCGGCTGTGCACGGAGCGGAATTTGGGCACCTGCCGGACAACATTACGGTGCTTGAAGGCGAGAGCGTCACTTTGAGGTGAGTCTTGATCCCGTGCACCCACGCCCGCTGCATTTGAAAAACCTCTTTGTCAACTCTTCACGCACACACACGCACACACACACACACACATTGAGCTGTCACGCCAAACGCAGGCTGATCCCCGTCAACCCACACCCCTGCTGTATTCCTCAACTGTGTTTATCGCTCCAAAGTGAACACTGTCTGGCAGTGAGAAAATTATTTTATGAAAAAAAAAAAATCTCTGAAGATTCTTGCTTGGATAATGTTATCACAAGAAACCCTAAAAGTTTGGAAATCAGCTGAAAGTTGTTGCAGGCAGTAAGCCGACATGACATATGTAGATATTGTTTTGGATGCTGTACTTTCAATTTCATTTCTAGGTTCTTTTTTTTTTTCTTCCCCCAGCTGATTTCAGCCAGTAGGCGGGGGACACCCTCAACTGGTTGCCAGCCAAAGAAATTTTTAAGAAAACATTTCAAGGGAAGTGCAGAGACCTCTGTGGAGGTGCAACACAACGTTTAATCTCAAACCCACGTCGAATTGATATTTGCTCTTTCACCTCCTCGCCTCGATCCTGCTAGTTCGAAGCTGCTCTCAAGCTATCGAATTCCCTTGAATGTCACACACCAGGAGGACGTCTTTTAAACAACCGATGTCACCATTTTTATTAATTTTTTAAAATTCATTTTTCCATACAACCCAGCAGCCTGTGGGATAAAAAACTGTAGGGTTTAATTTTTTATTTTGTCGTTTAAAAAAAAAAAAAAAAATACTTGCTTAAGCTTCCGCCTGCGACGTTTCACAGTCAAGTTGAAGTCAAGGTTGAAGGAAGTTGGTGAAGATGTCACACTCTTTGGCTCAGCAATGTTTTCTTAGTTGTTTGGATATTTTTTTTTTTCTTTTGGCGTGAAATCAGAGGGCAGACAGTGAAGAAAGCATTCTTGGCCACAAACGACTCCCAGTGTAACATTTCTCATCAGGCCTTCATGACTTCACGAGCGGCAATAAAACGGCCTATTTTGTAATCAAAAGTGTGCGCGTACTCGCCGGACAGCCCGCGGCTGACAAACAAAACACAAAAACACAAAAGCGCTTTATAAATAAGCTTCCACTTGAATGTAAATCACTTTTTTTTTCTCCCAAGTGGCTCAAAGTAGTCTTTTTTTTTTCTTTCCCTATTGTGCTCCAGACGATGCCGTTTGATGCGGACCATTAATACGAAGCCACATTTGATGTTATTACGCTTCTCATTTCCTCTGGGCTCCGATTGCTGCAGCAGAAGAAGAAGCAGCAGCAGACGTGATGAAGTTTAAAATTAGATGAATGCACCATTTGTACACAGATGACATGACATTCTGTTGAAATGATCACTCTTTTGAACATACATTACAGTGTCGTGGAGTGCTGCTTTTCCTTTCTAAAATCATGCTACAAAAATATTTATTGGTGGTTTTTTTTGGGGGGGGGGGCGCTGGAATGGTTCGATTGCATTTCCATTCTTTTCAATGGGGAAACGATGATTTGGGAGCCGGGTCGCTGAACCAATTAACAAGGAAGTCAAGCACCACGGTATAAATGCGCACGACTACTTGGAACGCTTCACTTGGAACATTCGGAGCCCTGCTTTGGCGTTGGCGTCGTGGCTGAATCATTTGAATGCATAGAAGCTGACTCATCAGCGTTGCATGGGGTGGATGGAAAAGGATGCTTGTGAATAAACGAGCAGAGGCGGCACAAAGCTCTGCTATAATGTGAATCATGTACTATTCATGGAACATCTTTTTTTTTTTTTTGGGGGGTGCAGTTGACGTGCGTCAGTGTCATCATTGTCGGTTGGAGCGGGCGGACGCCAACGCAAAGCGAAGAACAGCTCAAGGCCGACAGGAAGCGTAGTGAATTCTTGTGTTTATTTAACGAGAAGTGCAGACGCAGGAGAGTGAGAGGCTTGACAGGACTGAACAAACAAAGAGGAGACACAGGTGGGAAGAAGGCAGCCAAGGGCAGGCCAGAAACTACACACGCCAGAAAGCTGGCGTGGATGACAAGGCAAGGTGAGAGGAAAACATCCAGGGAGAAAACAACAAAAATGTCACAGTGAAGAAGCGTGAGAATCAAACACTGGAACGTAACAAGAAATCCCAAACGTTGCGACAGGAAAAGCACTGACTACCAAGCAGGAGCGTCGAGAAGAAATCACCGTTGCGATATTATTCAAAACAGTCATCACCTTTCATTTCGTCGTCAAGCGTTCATCTGTAACCAATAATTACGGACCGAGAGCTGCTCAAGGTTTTAAAATCAGCTCAAAATCGCTCTTGGTTTCGGGCCAACTCGCAAGAAACGGAGTTGAAAAGAAATGTTGCTTGAGATATTTTTTTTCCAAACAGTCATCTACTTTCCTGTCAACTTTCAACCGTTCTGATCTGTAAGCAGTAAACGTGTAACAAGAACACCTGAAAATTTGGGGAGGAGGAAGGAAAGCGCAACCGGTAGAGCGCTCGCTAGAGAGATGTGGAATTCGGAATTGTCATCCATCAGCGATCACGAAAGGATATGCTAACCTTTCGAGTTCCTTCGGCAATCGTCACAGGAAACCCGGAGATTCCAGACGATTCACGCTGAAAATTGCGACGAGGAGAGCAGGGACGTGTGGTCAGGGTTGGCAGGTGAGGCAGTGCTCTTCCTTGATCTGCATGTGCACAGTAAAAACAAGAAAAAATAACTTAGGACTGCATTGAATTGGGTTCAATTTTAATCCTCCACTCATTCCTTCATTTCCACCCCACGTTAATCTACAAACAGGACACCACACTATTCCGACTTTCATGACAGTTTCAGTTGTGCGATGGAGGGTGCTCACTCAGTTGTTTGACGCCGACATCGACGCACTTTCACTCACGCTCGCCACAGACGAGAGGCTGCGGGCCACGCGCGGCCCCGCCCCATTCAAACTGGCTTGATGAATTATGCTTAAAATAAGCTGTGCGATAAATTAAAAGTGACGAGGGCCCATTTTATTCCTGTCCCCAATCTCCATTCGATGATATGTTCTATTTTGACAGAAATGTGATTTGAATTCTTTTCCTAGCGTACTACTTTAACGACCTTGTTATGAGCGCCAGGCTTGGACAGATGCGATCGTGGTTTGGCCACCGTGTGCATGTGCGATGTTGCTTGCCGTGGGTTCGAGGAATGCTCAGACGGATGGAAAGTTGGTTAACGGTGGTTTTCTTTTTCAATCCAATAAGGATCAATGACAGCTGAATGTGACGCTGCCACCTACTGTAGTGGATGTGGTCTTACATTCATAAAAAATAAAATAAAATAAAATAAATACTAATAATAATCGTAATAATACTAAAATAATAATAATAATACGCACCCCCTGCCCCACTACTTGCGGATTGCTTTTGGATGTGCGTAGAATCACTTTGCAAGCTTGTCCTTTTGTCCTCGCAGGTGTCGGATCAACGAAGAGGTGACCCACAAGGCCTGGCTGAACCGCTCCAACATTCTGTTCACGGGCACCGACAAGTGGTCGCTCGACAAGCGCGTCACGCTGGTCAACAGCAACAACAGCGACTTCTCGGTCCACATCGACAAGGTGCAAGTGAGCGACGAGGGGCCCTACACGTGCACCTTCCAGGCAAACAACAAGCCGCGCATCGCCCACGTCTACCTCATTGTGCAAGGTCAGAATTCTGATTTTTTTTTTTTGTGGGGGGCGGGGGATGCTTTAGGAGCAGGAAGAGCCCTGATTTGGGTGGTGGGGTGGGGGCGGGGGGTTCTGATTTGGGCTGTTTCCAGGATTAGGGAGCAATTTCTGCCAGTCGCTGGCATCAGCCTCCAAAATCCTCACCTTTCTGGAGATCTCAAAAACGGCATTTTTGTTCACCGGTGAACATTGTACTGTCAGAGAGAACTGGTTGTTTTAAGCAGATTCGATCAGTTAATCATTTGTTTCAAAAAATAAAATAATCAATTGATAAAAACAACACCCCCACGTGTGGGTTGATCAATAGTATAGAGTTGTGAAAAATGGTGACAAATTTACCAAACTGCAACATATGAGTGTTTCTGATTAGTATGAAATTCGGGCTATGGATTATTTATTTATTTATTTTTTTGACCAAGGTTGCCGATTTACCATTCAACACGAAAATATCTCCTGCCACCGGTACGTCCATCTACCTCAAGGTCTTCCTTGCTCACAACCAGCCCATCTGCTAAGTGACTTAATGACGCGTTCCGTTAGTTGGCCGCGATTGAGGCTTGCCACGGCGGGAAGCAATCAGTCGGTTTTATGGGGGACTCAATGTGTCTTTTCGTGTGAAATGGCGACGATCAACGCATATCCTCGTGACAATTTTGCACGAGAGCCAAAAGTCCCGGCTTCATTACGACTCAGCGCAAAGGTAAACGTGAGCCAAAAAGCGCAGGTGGCGGCTGACAAAGTAGACGGATGAGAGCATTTTCTCGCCTCCGCGCCCGCAGAATCCGTCGACTTGTTTGTCTTGATTTGGGAAGTCAGACGGATCAGACGCGAGCTGACAGCCGCGCCGAGGCTTGACTGCATCTGCTCGGGAAAATGTTCGAAACGTGTCGCGGAAGGCGCGGTGATTGCTGATTAGCGGCGGAGAGACAAGACGGGCCGACATTGAAAGCCGGCTCCTCCGAGTTTCTACTGTAAAGCCTTTGTAGAGCAAAGGAATGAGATTTCCCGACTTGAGCTGCATCCTGATTCCTGTCTCATCTTCATGATGAAGTATGACCCTGGAGAAAACACTATTTTCAATCGTGTCTGTTTATTCGAGGGGGCTCTTGTTCTGGTTCTGAATATGGAGCTCTACTCAGGGCGGGGGCGGAGCTTTTCAAGCGGCGTAGAGGGCCGCGGACCACCCCGAAAATCACAGCAACTATTTGAACCGAAAGCTGCGATGTAGCAGTTTCTCCAAATCACTCGAAGGTACACCGGGAATTTTCCTTGGTTCAAAATGGCGAGGCCGGCCGCCTCCAGCCCCCCCGCAGACAGACCGACGGATAGCGTTCAACACGGCGGCAAGCTCCAGCTGATGGAGCGATTGACGTCCCTCCGCGGCAATGACGTCTTTCAACTGCTGTTGCGGCGTTGCGCCACTATGGAGGCACGCTATCAACAGCTGTGCGCAGGAAACACCTGAAGCAACCACCAAAGAGGAAACGGATCAAATTTCCTGTCTTTTTCCTCGCTAAGCGGTGCTCTGTGCGTCCTGATTTTCCCTAGCGGATTTTACAAACGGGTCAATATTGCCTGTTTTGTTTTTGTCAGATTTATTCAAATAAAAATGTCCTTTGTGTCAAAGTAACGTTCATGATTTTTAGCGTTGCAAATATGGCAGGGAAAATCAGCCACCCGTGAGGAGGAAACGCCAAGTCCGAGTGAAGCGGAGCAGAGAAATGAACGCTACGGGCAGTTAAAATGTGATCGTTCGTGGTGATGACAACATGTGGAGATTTGCTTTGATTTTGACAAGCGGCGGCTCAATGAATGAACCCGTCCGTCCGTCTCAGGCGTACTGAGGAAGGCGGTCACTGTCGCCGATGCTCAAACGCGGCAGGCGATCGCTGCAACCAACGACACGTTGGACGCATTAAAAAGACGTGAGGAGACTTGAAGATGTCAGCACCAAAAAAACACTCATCTCATAAAATTGCAAAAACCATTTCGTGTCGATCGTTGAAGAAATGTTGGTCAGGCGTACTGAGGAAGGCGGTCACTGTCGCCGATGCTCAAACGCGGCAGGCGATCGCTGCAACCAACGACACGTTGGACGCATTAAAAAGACGTGAGGTTCACAAAGCAGCACAAGAGAAGGAAGGATCTTGAAGATGTCAGCACCAAAAAAAACTCATCTCATAAAATTGCAAAAACCATATCGTGTCGATCGTTGAAGAAATGTTGTATGTTTCCTGTCACAGGAAGTGATTGCGTTGGATTTGTCGAATACACGCACGCGGCGGTGCCCATTGTGCATCTGTTCTCCTCTAAAATCAACAGGATGGATTCTTATACTAACAGCTTCAAAAAAACCCATCATCGCCCTAAAAGAACAGAATGTGTTTGTGGCTGACAGGTGGCAGAGAGCTGCTTGCTGACTGAAGCGCTTTTTGCCAACCGCGTCCAAGCAAACAAACAATCTTGTCCGGAGGGTCCAAATCTTGGCATCGCCCACCGTTAGGCGCACTCCATACATCCGCGCGCGTATATTTATATTTATGTGTTTGTCGAGCCGAGCGGCGCGTTTGTAGTGTGTGTTTATTGCGCCGCCGCCGCCGCTGTCGGCTACCCGGCAAGCGAAACGAGTGCCGCGGCGGAGCCAAGCTCATTAAAAACAATGATAATGGCCCCGTTTAAATTCAAGGGCCGTCTCGTTATCAATTTAAGTATGAGCCAGAGTGCCGCACGTTCGGTGGTGTTTAATCGGGTTTGTTGTTGCCCGGTTGTTGGATCAAGAGAAAATTGACACTTTTGATCAATTCTTCAGAGAAAAACCACGGCCCTCCACTTGCAAAATATTCGCACGTGCCACTCGTCTGTCCTATTGACACCAAACCATCCGTGATCTGAAGCGCTTCCGAGCCATGCGATGAATGGCGGCCGGTTTTCCGTTCTCATCCTAGTTGGTACTTGAACAAAGTCCGCCGAGGGGATTTCGCACGATCACCACAAAAAATTTGGTTCAGGTGAAACCCAACAAACGGATGATGCCAATGTGTCAAAGTTGGGACTTTTCGTGATTGGCTTCGGACAAAGGAAAAACTTGGCAATGAAATACGGAACCTTCATAAGTCGCTGCAAGTTTGGATTACCGCGAACGGTGAACGTGGTTTCGCATTGTTGCCTCATTTGGTTTTTGTTTTTTTTTTCTCAGTACCGGCCAGAATCGTCAACATCTCCACGGACGTGTTTGTGAATGAGGGCGAGAACGTCAACCTCTTCTGTCTGGCCGTGGGCCGGCCTGAGCCCACCGTCACCTGGAAGGACCAGAAATGTGCGTAGCTTTTTTTTTTTTCCTTCAGTCTCTCTTTTGTATTTTTTTGAACAGCAATTTGGGGGTCACGGCTGAATCAGCATTGCGCTCTTCATGTCTGTGTCATCATCCTTAACGCCAGTGACTTAGCTTGGCCTCTTCTGTCTTCAAAATCCACTCTGCTGTATTTTGCCCGCGTCCTGGTGTTTTGTCCCAAATAACCGCTCATTAGCCGTGATTATCCCCTCCGTGCCACCCGTAATCATCGGCATCTGTCTTCGTCGGGGGTCCCCGCGTTGAGCGGCGCGGCGCTGCCAAATGACGCCGGCCGCCACTTTTGGAACTTCACGGGAGGCTATTTTTAGCTCCCCTAACCCCCACCCACTGAGCACCCACGTCCGCAATTCAGGGTGGTCAGCACGCGGTGTCCTGATAAGTGGCCTCTGATTAGATTTGATCAGGACTCAACTGAATGGAACGGCTCTTTGGTCCATCGTCATTAATGTTCGCTGCAGAGTTAGCATCACGCAGCCTCTTTTCAGCTGCAATGATGCTGATGTGTGTCTGTGTGCAGGTGATTAATACTCTATATTTTTGTGTGAGTACACTCCACCCGAACCGTCAGTTTCGTTTTCACAAAAAAATAAATACGACAAAGGAAAAAGCAGGTCCGCTTTAACCTACGGTGGCGCACGAGCTGCACCACTCGAAGTTCAGCAGTCCGCAATTGCGACTTGCTATCAGAGCAGTTGCCATGTCTGTTTTTCTAAAAAGTTTCTTCCATGTTCAATTCACCCACGGCACTGGCAAAGAATGGCCATCTGGAGCGCCAGGAGAAGCATTTTTATACGGTACACGTACGTGCTATCATTTCTGCACTTAACACGCTGCGGCATGTGTGCACGCGTGAGCGTGGGCGCGCGCACGTGCGCTAACGGGTCAATATCGCGGGAGGCTGGTCGCTTGAAAAGTACATCTTCGGTCAATAATGGTTGGGTCGTGAAAAATGTCACCTAGCCATTATGGCATTTCTTTGGGGGGGTCCTCGGCTTTCATACTTGAAGAGAAATGAATGCCGAGGAAATTAGACAATTGTGAAAACAAACCTTTTTTTTTTTTTTTTTTAGGCCAGATGTGCACCAAATAAATGCAGCCTTGCTGGTGCCTAACAACTCTCCAAAGTGTTATCAATAGGGTAAATCAAATCTAAGACAACAAATAATGGAATCACACCAACAATACGACACGTTAAAAAAAATAAATGCATTGTCATGATCTTTTTTGTATTTATTTATTTTTTAAGGATTTTATTTTTTGTTCTGATTAGATTCATTCAGCCACTCGTGTCTTGTCTTTGGCTTTGCTCATATTCGCTTTTTTTGGTTTGCTTCACATACTTGGAAATACAAATATTGAGAACGATATGTAAACATTGGACAAAATGACTGTGAAAAACATTGCCGTCACCGGGGGCTGCTCTCCCCCGTTTCATAGCACAGCCATAAAATCCACATCTGCGTTCTTCGCTGTCGTTCTCTTCTTCCCTCCTTGTTCTTTTTCATCATCTTCCTTTTCTGCCGTCTGGTTTGCGTTTTAGTCGTCGAGCTGCACTCGGAAATCAAATGCGCTTCGTTGTTAGGGGGCGTGCGAGTCTACGAGAAGCTCTTTCCAATCTGGCGAGGATTATTTTCTTGAACTTGTCCAACATTTTATCAAGTGAGATAATTAGCTGTTTGCCTCGGAGCCGAGGGGAGGATAAAAAAAATAATAAAAAAACTTCCGAGCAAAGCCTCTTTTTAATTCTGCAGCAGCGTCGGCGGGTGAGATGCGGCAAGAGCAACAGCAGCAGCAGCAGCAGCAGCAGCTCTGTAGATCACTGGGACAAGCAGCAGGAAATAGGTCAGTGTGTACAAGCACTGAACTCCGTGTAATTAGACTCTGAGGGCAAAGGATGCGCAACCTACCGTCCTCTGCTGCCTGCGCACGGATTCCCCGCCCGTGATGTCCAGCGCAAATGTTCCTTAGGAGTGCTCCAACTCGACTGCGAAAACTCAAATCGAACCGAGAGCAAATCTGTCAAATCAAAGCAAAAAGGTGCTTGCGCTTTGCATTTGTGTCGGAGCATTGGACTTGCTTCAAGTGGATTTTTCATGAAAAAGGGGACAGTGGCCCAACTTGAATTTGTTTCCGTGACCGCGCTCGTAAATCAACACGCTCAACCCAAATCATTGTCAATCATCCCTTTCCGAATGAATGGGAATGCCTTCCATTGGACAATGACTTTTCTTTGTCTGTTTTGTGTGTACATTTGTCCGTGTCAAGCTGTCCATTGGTGAGCATCTCTGCAGTCTTGTGCACACGCGCCGACCCCTTCGCGCAGTCACGCACACACGTGCGCACATACGCGCTCGCATACCATTACAAGTGGCGAACATTTGTCCTCGCTCGCAGGCCGACAGCGTTTCTCCTCTGTCAGCAATAATCTTCCTCCCCTCTCGCCGACGCCCCCCGCCTCCCCAACACCCCCGCGCAACCCGTCAGCTCTCTGGAGATAGCGGCCGCATTGCTATTCCGATAGAGTGTCTGCAACCAAGCATCAATTGCCTCTGACTAGAAGGGCTAGTGAAGGGGAAAGAAGGGTGGACAAGCCCGGGGAGACAGCAAGGAACTAGCAGCCATCACTTCCTATTATTCAGTGGCTTCAGTGAAAAAAAAAAAAAAAAAAACAACAAGCGGGGTGTGGAAGAATTCAGGTTTGTTGTGGACATCAGGGGTTCCCAAACGTTTTGCAGAAAAATTTCCAAGGAGCCCCTCATAATCCTCACGCTAATCAAAGCGAACTAAGATATGGTGTAGCTTTACATTTCATAAGAATTCAAATGATGATTGTTTTCAGTTTTTGGTTTTTAAGTTACAAGAAATAAAAATGGTATGAGAAAGCCAAAAACTACGAATGGTAAAAAGAAACACAAGGAATTGACGTTCTCCTAAAATGTTGGATATGTATTTGTGTGTGTGTGTGTGTGTGTGTGTGTGTGTGTGTGTGTGTGTGTGTATATGTACACACACACACACACACACACACACATATACACACACACACACAATTTTAGCGTGTCACACGGCTAAAATTGCAGTTCTGATTCATGGAGTGGCGCACGGAATAGAAGATGTCACATGTAAACAGAATTTTCATTCCGTTTGGTCGTTTGGTTTCATTCTCAGCGGAATACAAGGCTCCTTGTAAACTATCATGCCCGATATGAAAATTCAGTATGAGCGCCGTCTTGGACATTTTCATCGGTCCACTGTGACGTGTACTTCAATTTTATTCGGCACATATGACGAGACTATCAGTAAACGCATTGGCTGGTGAGTAAAAATCCATAAAATAACCGCGCTAAAGCCACAGGGAAAGTCTGGAAAAAACATAGCAGCTTGTAGTTGGGAAATTATGCGAAGTAAAAATGTGCGTGCGTGCGTGTGTGTGTGTGTGTGTGTGTGTGTGTGTGTGTGTGTGTGTGTGTGTATTTTTCTCTAATAGTATGATATAAACGCCATATTTTAAAACGTGAATTGCAAAACTTTAGCGTCACTCTCCTAATATGACTTTTCTTTTCCTGGGAAAGAGGCTTTTATTCTGTCAAACACCTTTAGTTCACGAAAAATGACATTATTGTGCTTGACAAACTGCCAAGCGACGACGAACCGCCAGTGGAATCAAGCAGGTCTGACATTGGCGGCCGTCATCAGACACAAGGGATAGCATCGACGGCATCCCTGACCCGCGTAGTGGAGGTCGCTTCTTCTTTGGCTTATCACATGACATGCCATCAGTTACAACGGGCGCGAGAACGAATGCATGTCGCTGATAGCCGATGAGCGTTTCCCCCATTGACGAGATTGGCGGCCCTTGTGAGCGGAGACACACAAAAAAAAAAAAAACCAAAGCAGGTTTTGAAAAATATGTGCGCTCGAGCAGAAAGCAGCAAAGTGTCCTTGTAAGGAAAGTTGAGCAGGCGAGTCCATCAATATTCTGCACAAAAAGGGCGGGCGACTTTCAACATCGAAGACACCGTTTGTCATTGAAGAGTATTTTCAAAGTGAAACTGTTTGTCCGTTCAGATTTAAAAGATGGGATTTGCTGAAATTGTTCTGACATTTGGATGTAAACAAACAACTGCCGTTTTCAAACAATGGCGGGCTGCACATCTACAGAATGAATGCTTGCGATTTTCTGATCCATTTCCAGGTAGTCCTCTCTTTCACTTGACTTCACGATGTGCAAATGGTTTATCGTGACGCAAAAAGCCGTTAAGTCTCACTGAGTGACAAAGTGAGTGAGTGCGCCACGCAATTTTTCATGTCGCCATCAAATGTCGAACGTGCTCATAATTTCTTGCCGATAAGAAAAACTTTGTCGCAGGGACAACTACCGGACAAACGTTGTGGTCAGGCGGGGTCGGAGGAGGGAGACGGCTTGAACACGCATCGTTAAAGGGCCCCTCGACGACCGCAGCTGGAGATCCCTGGGCTAGCGATGACGTTTGAGAAGGCTTTTATGATGGCGCCATTTCGACGAGTAGCATCATTTCGGTATTTGTCGTTGTCTTCATACTAAAACGGACATTGCTTTCAGTGACACTCTACTCCGGAAAACCGCACCCTCTGCTTTGTTACTGGAATGTGAAAGACAAGAGTTGCCTCGAGCTCAAGCGATCTTCGCTGGCTCAAAGTGCTTGAAAACACTCTTGTCGTGCCCAAGCCCGGAAAACCTCGGCTCACTTTCATCCCTCTTCAGGTGGTCAGGAGTCAAGCTCCTTTGCAAAGCTTATAAGTGCTCGAAGGAGTTGTATTTTTAGACAGCATCGTAGCAGTGCCTGCCTGCTGGCTGCAGTCAGATATCATCATCATCATCATCATCATCATGATTTGCTGCCCCCTTTGTGGCTCCACCAGCTTCCCCTCTTTGCTCTTGCTCTGTTCTGGAGAGAATTTTTGCAAGGGTTTTTTTTTTTCCCCCCCCGGCCCAATAGGTGCAGGTTCAAATTCGGGTCAAGGCTCTGTCCTCTTCCTTCACAATCTGTGACACATGCTGTCAGAAGTGGCATGTTTATCCACGAGGGAATCGTTGTTGTGGCCCCGCTCTGCGGGAAACGTAGGATTGTTGTGGAATCTTCGGGTTCACGTCTGGGTTTCAAGTGCGTCTCCTTAGAGTTTCGTGACAAATGCTGTCGGAAGCGGGAGACAGCCGCGAGCGAGGTCGGGCTAAGAAAGGTCCCGTTGGATTGTTGGGTTCAACCCGATATGGACTCTCTTCTTTCGTTGAAGCGGAAGATTAGAATTCAGTGCCATACGATATCCGTGCATTCGGTTGACCTCCTTTGAGTTCAGTGACAAAAGGTGTCAGAAGTGGGATGTTTAGCGAAAAGGCCATCTACGATGCGTCCATTTTAAAGGACCTGTAGGACAGTTATGTTCAACCCCGTCTGAACCCTGGTTCAAATATGGACTGAGGTTACGCCACGTCAGGATTCGGTGACCAAAAGTACCAGAAGTGGGATGCTTCGTCACAAGGTCGTCTTTTACTGTGCTCTGAAGAACTTGTAGGACAGTTGTTTAATTCCGTAGACTCGGATTCAACTGAGTTGAGGCTACTCGTACTTACGGGTTCCTACGGTGTTAGAAGTGGGATGCTCGGCCATGAGGCTCAGGTTGCTGCGCCTGTTCTGAAAGATCCAAGAAACAGTTGTGGCCAGTAAAGACTCTGGTGGAAATCTGGGTTGAGGATACACCTCATCAGAATTCGGTGACAAACCGTGTCAGAAGTGGGACGCTTCGCGCCAGGGCTACCGATGATGTTTTCATTTCATTCTGAGGTTATACCACATCCGAATTGAGTGGCAGATGCAATCAGAAGTGGGAGGTGTCCATTCCAAAGGACCCTTCCGATTGTTGTCTTGAACTCATTCTCGACTCCGGGTTAAAATCTGGGTTTCAAGTCCACCTGCGAAGAGTTCTGTGACAAATTGGGATTTTGATTCAACCAGGCCCTCCATGTCGTGGCCGTTCTGAAGGTCTCGTACGATTGTGTTGAACTCAGTATGGAGTTGGATTATATTTCACCAGTTGAGTACAAGCCAATGTAGAGCGTTGAGTGATTTTTGGTGTCAGGAATGGGATGCTGAGGCCCATCGTCGCCTCCCCCCACCCCCATATGCGCTCGTATAGCGCCCATTATGTATTCTCCACATCACCCTACCCCCAACTGAAGTTTCACTTTACATGTGCCCCAAATCCTTCTTTCCTCCCGCTTCCGTCGCCAACGTTGTCACACACGGGCACCGCGTCAACGTGACTAATGCGCCCAGCGAGCAGCACTGCACCGAGCCTATCAGGCGGCACCAAAAGCTTTCGCCTTCCCTCGCTCCGCGTCCCCAGTCTCCGGCTCGGCAGCCGCGCTAATAATCCCGCCGCCTCTAATCTTCAATTAGAGGCGGCGTGATAATCTCTGACATGAATAATAGCAGCATTTAGCGTGGATTGGTGTGCGCGCGCGAGCGTTTGTAGCGAGAAGGCCGCATGTGTGTTTTGCTGATTGACAGCGACAATTCAGAAGCGGGATTTGCTTGTCAGAGATGATGCGAAACGGGCCCGCTTCTGTCGGCTGCCCTCCTTTAATGGCGAGAGAGATTTGAGCGGACGCGATCGAGCAAGTCGACCAATGAAAACTCTCGCTGCCCTAAGCCACGCCCCATCGTGCGCCACCCTGGCGCGAGACTGACGTCACTCCGGTGCGGAACTCCCGGGAGTTTGTCCAAGTAATGTGAGGAAGAAAAAAATGGTTGATTGAGTTTCCGCTTCTGGATTAAAAAATAACAATCATTTCCATTCATCTGTTTTGAAAAGATACAAAAAGAAAAAAAAAGCCGTCGCTACTAAGCAAAGCTGTGGTTGTTTCAATTAGACGTGGTGCCTCTTTGCTCTTCATGTCAGTTGAGAATGAAGTTCACCCGTAGCAGAAAAAAAAATCAATGGGCAAGAAAACGTTTTTATGGTACGGACGCATGTCAGCCATAAAAATGTTCAAATAATCCGCTCCCCCACCCCCCACCCCAGACGGCCTGGTGAGCGAGGGCGAGTTCCTGGACATTACGGAGATCAAGCGCCAGCAGGCCGAGGACTACGAGTGCATCACCCACAACGGCGTGGCCCCGCCCGATCAGCACAAAGTCAAAGTCACCGTCAACTGTGAGTGCGCGATCATTGGACGGCGGTCATCCAATCACGTGACTCTGAGATCCCTCCTTTGTTGTGTGCGTTTTTGGGCCGCAAGACCCGCCCACTATCACCGACATGAAGAACCTGCCCGCCCACTTGGGGAAGACCGCCATCTTGCGCTGCGAGGCCATGGCTGTGCCCCCCGCCTCCTTTGAGTGGTACCACGACGACCACAGGTGAGAACGGTTCGGCGCGAATGCTCAATGTGCGTGTGCTTGTGTGAGTGTGCGTGTGAGAGAGAGAGAGAGATTTAAAAAAAAAAAGAAAATTAATTTCTGTAAATGAAAAAAAGATAATTCCCTTATGAATTTAGATGAATTATTGAATGTCCTCTTGTAAATTAGAAATGATTAAATAAACACAAAAACACTCATTGCATTTACCCACATACATTTTTAAAAGACAAACCAAAAGGGGTTTAAAAATAAAGCCGATTTACAGAATAGCCCGCTCATCAATTTGCGGGAAAAGAATGCTAATGCTCACTAATTAATATTTTTAATACATGGAAAAAACGGAAGTAAAAAAAAAAATCTAAGATGGTATTTCTTTTCCACATATAAATGGTCATTGCTTTGGATCATAACCCTGTTTTAAAAATGAAGAACTTATTGTGTTATTGTCATTTTAAAAATCAAAGATGAGCAGATCAGGAAATGGATGGATGGAAAGTTTAATAAAAAAAAAATTGAAGTCAACAAAAATGTTGACTAAATTTCCCCAAGAAAAGGAAAACAATTGTGTCCTCAATTGTCCTTCTAAATGAAAATTGAATTATTCAAGTTGAATAAAACAAAAAGATGAAATCAATTGGTCATTAAATATGTCATATAAATTTTAAAAAAATAAAAGATTGGTCATTGAATTCACCCTTTCCTTTTTCAAAATGACAAAAAAGAAGTATAATTTTGTTGGAACGCAAACATGAAGACCAGTTTGCGCTCGAAACCGACTGAGCCGATCGCTGTCGATGCCATTCGCGCTTTTGTGGAATTCCTTGAATAATTCCTCCGCAACGGTACAAAAGTGTCAAAGGTAAAAGGTGCGAGTCGGCTCTCAGAGGCTCTTCGGATCCGAGTGCCGCCGACCATTCGCACCTTAATGATGACAAAGATGTGCCTAATGGTCAACAGCGTGAAACAATGAGGCGAGAAGGACATTTTGAGCACAAATGGGCCAAGGTCACGGGGGTCACTTTTCTGCCCAGTAATTCTGGGAAAATCTATTAACTTCTCGTTGAGTAAAGGTGACCGCGGAATGGATTTTTTTTTCCTCCATAAGGAAAATAATCAGCTTCAGGGTCAAATTGTGGCCCGTGTAAAAGCTTTATTTACTGTGAAGGCTATCCAAGTCACAGGTGTCAAACTCAAGGCCCGGGGGCCAGATCCGGCCCGCCACCTCATTCTATGTGGCCCGCAAAAGCAAATCACGTGTGTCAACTTGCATGATCCTTGCTCAAATCTGTACAGGAAAGTCATGTTGTCATATGGAATGAATCTGTCACGGGCGACAGGCATCCGTTGATTGTTTTTTTACAAGTCATAATGCGATGAGACGAGTCAACATTTTTGGTTGATTTTGACTTTGAAATTGTCTCGCAATACAAAGATATAAAAGCTGTTCTTGATCTTAAGCATGAATAAATGAAAGACATCTGAAGCGTGTGTCGTTTCTCCAACAGCCGCGCGTTCGAAGAAACAGGAGCCAAACTGACCCCGCAAGTACATAAACATAAAAGTGCATTTTTTAAAAAGAAAAAAAAACCTTTGCATTATCTCGCAAACTTTGCAAGGGGATGCTTTTTTTGTTTTGTTTTGTCTTAATAATGTTGTTTAATAAGGGCTCTGTAGCAGTACTGCAAGTATTTCAATTTGTTGCCCCACGGCATAGAAAAAATGAGAAATGTGTGTGTGTGTGTGTGTGTGCGTGCGTGTGTGTGTGTGTGGTGGGGGGGGGTGGCTGAATTTCCCCTTGTTGTCTTTTTTGCGGTTGCGGCAGGCCAGTGGAGAGCGACAACACCTTGCGGATTAAAAATGAGAAGACGCGCTCGCTGCTGCTCTTCACCAACGTGACGGAGAAGCACTTTGGCAACTACACCTGCTTCGCCAGCAACCGTCTGGGGGCCTCCAACGCCAGCATGTTGCTATTCCGTACGTCCCCTCCCCCGTTCATTATCCCCCCCCCTCGTTTGATCCCATCTCTTTCTCGCTCGGCTTTCCCCTCCGTTTCCCCCCCGTCAACTCCGCCCGCCCGCTCTCGTTCGGCATCATTCGTCTTAAGCGAGTCCTTCATCTCTGGCCGCCTTTCTTCCTCTTCCGCCATGATCCCAGCCGGTGCCCCTTCAATGACTCACTCTGGCGTCGGGCCCATTCATCTTGCAGCTCCCGCTTTCCCCCTCGTGTCAGCCGATCGCTCCATCATCTCTCCCCTCCTTTCCCTCCAAATCTGCTCCGGCCGTCATTAGAGCACGACAAACATTTTTAATTCCAGACGTGCGGCCACCCCAAATCACAGCCGAAACCATCCCTCCGTGTCATTGCTCGCCGCCCACTTGGGGACCCGAGGCTCGTCGTTTTCACTTTCGCTCTCCGATACGGGGGTGCCAAGTAGGCTGGAACAATTTGGGGAAATGAGCTCATTTTTCTCTCAATATTGCGATCGCTATCTAATTTGTGATTTTTTATTTTTATTTTTTTTAAGTCCTCTTCCCATGTATTTTAAAATAAATTAATCTGAATTGCAATTAACAGGATCAGATTGACTGTACATAAATATTTTGGTTTTCTAGGTTTGGCATGAATTAATTACGGAAGACACTTGATCTGCTTCAATGAACGAACCTGGTGGCTTATTAAGCAGTCACAGAAATTGCGTGACTACTAAATAAGCCACCGCAGCTCCAAATAAAGTGTGGGGGGGGGGAAACTGCTATTCTGCCGACGTCTTCTTCATTTAAAGGCTTCATATATATACAGTATATGTACATATATACACACATATGCACACACACACTGCCATTAGCGACTCCCTTTATCTCGGTCGTCCATCCACATGGCCTGCGAGCTTGCTGGACGGGCACATCATGGGAATCAAGGAGGTTAATTAGCAGCCGTTGCAAGTGTGATGAGACGGTCCAATTAGACACGGCTATGCCTCCTCCGGCATACTCGGAAGGCGCTCATTGCGTGGAACGTGGACTTTTTTAAAATTGGGAATTATTTCTGGTGGTTTGGTTGGGTCTGCGAGGTGGCGGTTATCGTTAATAATTGGCTCGAGGAGCGATCGCATTACATGTGGTGTGTAGCAAGTGTGCGTGTGCCCGTGCATGGATTATCTGTCACCGTCTTTTTTTTTTTTTTTTTTTGTATGAGGAGTGTACATCGCACATAGGTTGCGTATCACGAAATGACTCGAGGAGCAATCGTAAATTGCACCTGCCAATGGGGAGAGCAGCTACTCTGACCAGTTATTCATGTTGACCACCACAGTGGACAATGAAAATAAACATGTCAGGAGTTGAAATCAAGCCATGCCTGAAATGCTTCTGATGGCTCCTCTCACGGGTTATGTCTCATAAAGCGCGTCTTGCACGCTACAGATGGGTTTGGTCACATGTGCATGCAACGTACGACAACGTATGTTGCAATTATGATGTACTCCAACATACCCAAAGAAACAAAATGAATAGAATTCATAGTTAAAAAAAAAAAAAAAAAGCCCACAGCACAGGCAACGCATGTTATGAGCGCCATGGCTCCTCTCACCAATTATTGGACATAATTGCCACGTTGCATAATAGAAATAAAGAAACGACCAAAGATAAAAACAATTACAAATAGTCAGACATCATCTCCTCCAACCAGACAAAAGCTCATAAGTCCTACACCAAAGCAAACGACGACGGTGACGTCATTTTTCTCATATTCTTTCTCATATTCTTTGAATCGGTCGACACTGTGCATCTTTTTCTGCACTGAAGCATGACAGCGAACCGTTTTGAACAAAACAGTTTGACGCAAATGTATCTATTTTCATTGTTATGAAGGAAAAAGAAAACAGCATCCGGAGTTTCACTCAGAATGCTGCACGGCTCCCTTCAGAGCCTGATGACTCTTTTCAGACCGTCGAAGAGAGTTAAGAAATTTGCTCCACGCTATTTTCGCACCTGAAATTGGTTCATTACACATAAAATAGCAAACGACATCAGAAATGATTTGCATTGCTCCTGTATTTCTTTTTGGAGCAGGCGTCACATTAACGCATCTTTTCTCTCTTTGCTTTGTTTGACTTTGGCCTTCGCAAGGACCGGGCGCCATACAGGGTCGAGCGAGCGGTCTCCGATCGGGCTTCAGCGTCGCCCTCAGCGTTTGGATCTCCCTCTCTGCCGCCGTCCTGTTCAAGGTGTAACAATCGCAAACCACCCCTGGAAACGGAATAGAAGCAAGACCCTCCGACGACCCCCCCCCTTCCCCCCCCTTCCCTCGCCCCTCGACTGAAAGGAATTCTTTAATTAACGAACCCATCACTGTGAACAAAAAGTATATGCATTGAGTCATCACATCAGACTGGAGATGCCAACTCCGCCCACCCCAGGCCCCGCCCCCTTCTACAAGCCACACACCCAGCGCTCTCATCATCTGTCCGTCTACTACATACTACTGACCTGACTGACTTGCAAAGTCTGCCTTATGGAAAAGTGAATCATCAAAGTCACGCCGTGGTCTTTCGGTGGACGCGTCGATGGTCATGTGACCCGTTGAAAGCGACACAACACACACGCACACGCGTATCCAACAGAGGTGGTCGAAAGTTTACATGGCCACATGATTGACTTGACTTCCAGTCATTTGGGGGCTTTCATTGATGTGATCGTCAGATTGAGCATTTTTTTAGAACATCACAATCAAATCATTGGATCAATCGAGCAGTACTCGGGAAAACAAGGAAAAGAGCAACAGAAACGCGTCGATTTACACTTGTGATGGATTCACCGCCCCGGGAGCAAAGTGGCCTGGATGAACGAGAATAGTGACAAGCATGGGAAGAGAGGAGCGGTCCTCAAGAGCTGACGTTGCGGCAACTCCGGAGCGATCGTCGGTCCAAAGTGAAGATTGGTCTTATACTGTAGATTGGGAGATTCTCAGTGTGAACAACAAGGAAAGGTCCAAGGAGATCGGTGAAGATCCGAGCAAAAACCGGAGAAGGGCCGATTCACAGAAACGCTGCCATTTGCGTCCCTCCGGACTCAAAATGTACAAATGCCTCCAAAGAATTGCCATTTTGAATCCAACTTAGAAGACTAATTTAGACCAAGGGTCCCCAACCATTTTTGACCGCAGATCTACTTTTCACGCGACCGGCCTCCCGCGATCGACCCGTGACCGAACGTGCACGCACTTAGACACGCACGCCATGATGAGCAACAGTCATAACGACCCCTAACATGACCGAAATAGATAACGTTGAGACAAGAGTTGGTGAGTTTGCGAAAAGCAAATCACTGCCTATCTTAGTCGAGAGTGGTGCAGTGGTGCAGATCATGGCTTTGGAAAGCCAAACATGTTCTTCGCAAGAACACGTTGGCCCTGGCGCCGAACCAGCACCAAGTTTGGTTTGGTGGAAAAGGCGCATCTGATCCTCATGGGAAGGCCAAGCGTAAGCTCACTCATTTCTTACACTAAAAACTGAAGTGAGCAATTTCAATACAATAGAACAATGAGACCCCAAATCAAGTTGGCTGAGTTGGGCCAATAAACCGGAGAAGAGTTCCAACAAGTTCGTGACACCGATTTGGTGGTATGGCCACTTGACACATCCTTTTTTTTTTCAGGTGCTACAAAAATCAGCGAAATATGAGTAGAATTTCCCATTGTTCCGATTCTTAATCAATCAACTCGCAAACTGTAGTCGACTGAAGGTTGTTCTTTGCCGTTGTTTTGGTGCTGCTCGATCAAAAATCATCACATCACGAAAGAGCCCAAATGAGTGGGTGGAAACTTGCGAGCACAACCGAGCGCATCCGTAACGGATTTGCAGTATGTCCAGAACGCTGGAACTGATGATGCCCCCCCCCCGCC